CCTTTAAATATCCACTGCTGAACATAAGCTTCCTTCTAGGGTGGTTTTGCTCGTAGTGGCTATACTTGATAGGTAGATTGGCAACCGCCGTTCCAAACTGCGGTTGCCAATCTACTTGTCAAGTATAAAACATCTCCAAAGCCTACTTTGGAGATGTTTTAAGAGAGACGCTGTTGCGCATCCCACATCCTTCCTCAGTCGCCTCTTACGATACTCATGGGAAAGGAAGGGGTGGCCTATTTTATGCAGGGACCATACGGAAAACATAAAACGTCGTTACGTTTTATGTTTTCCGTTTATATTTATCTAAAGAATTAAAAATAAATTGAAAAAGGTAAAACGAAAAAAGAAGAGATACGATATAGATAAAAAGAGAATCAAAACGGAAACAGCAACAGTCAGAAAAGAAAAAAAAAACATAAGGCAAAGTGAATTTAACAACATGTATACTTTATTTAACATTTTAGCGTATAATACTTGTCACCTATTTTAAAGCTGTATTTGTTATAGCTATTATTACAATTATTTAAGTACTAGCTTTAAACAACGACTTTGTCTGCGTAGCCGAAATAAGTACACTGTCCGGAATAAAAAGTTGCGTTATGTCCTCTGTATACTAAATTTTATAGATATATAGATACTCTTTATTGTTTCCTCCATAAGATTACAATAATAAATTTATTATAAATACAAACAATTACAAAAAAAATATTACACTAAGAAAACAATGGGCGCCCTTATCGCTAAGAGCGATCACTTCCAGGCAACCTTTGGGTGGAAAAGAGTAACTATAAACAGTTTATAGTAATTGGTTAAGCCGCTAAGACGCCACGAGGTGACAAACAAACTTTCACATTTATAATTTATTTATATTATTTAATTAGGATTGTTTCTATTCTATTCTTCAGTTACAAGCTAAATATAACAAAAAGGTATGCACGAAGCGGCTGTAGGTTGGTCACACTTGAGAAAAGGACAAAAATGGCCGCAGAAGAAATTAAAATCACACTCTTTTCTTGAAGGGGCCATCGAGCGTCTAATATTACTTATTTCTAGTAGTAGAAAGAAAGTGGGCCAGTGATGGTATTTGAAAAAACCGTGTTGTTTATAAAGCTGTGTTTTTATGACACAATAAATAGCTATGTTTTGCACTGTTATAGATACAACTATAAAATATTTCTGTTCGCTACTAGCAAAACCTGTATGCTGAGGCCCTAGATAAGAAGCGATTGATTTTAATCTTAATCGCTTACGTTTTATTCTAGCATAACAAAAGCATCTATATTTATATATACATAGAGAACAAAATGAGTTTGATCACCCATTTTGATAACAAGAGGCACTGCTGAAGGTACTGTCTCAATCATTTTGATGTGTTTGACAGATTAATTTCCAGTCCCTTTTACTGTAGTAAGGTTAACATACTTCATTAAGTTAGAACTGTAAATGTGTTTATATAAAGACAATTGTTTGAGTAGGTAAATACGTTTATAAATTAAAACAAGCGACACTTGTTTTGAATTAAACTAATTATTAAAAGTTTATGCACTTTTACTCAAAAATAAGAAAAAAAAAAACTTTTACTTTGAAAGTATGTAACCATTTCTATATTGTTTATAAAAGTAAAAACAGTTTTTGTGTAATACTGTATACCATAATACACATACCTATGGACAGTTATACAAAAATTAAATAAAAATCTGTTTTGCGTTCTATTACTCTTAATAAGATCCCACATATTTTTTTTTTTTAAATATCCTACACAGACATCGTTACAAATTTATTAGTAAGATTGGAGTTTGAAACTTACAAGTACGTCAGGCACAAGTATATTTATAATATTTACTTTAATAGCTTGATGTTCTTTCGTTATTCGTAGCGGTAGGAATGGATTTAGGATTATTATACAAACCGCTACGAGTACACTACTAAAAAAATGACTATTCATAAATGCTTATTATTAAGTTTACTTGAATAACAATTATTAAAAACATTCATATTGGGAATAAAAATATTCCTCGATACTGGGGTCGTACGTAAATCGTACTTATTGATAAAAAGCGTTCGCTCACTTCAACTAGGTAGGTACAATAGGGCGAATAGTCCTTGGTTTGTTTATGAGGCATTAAATTTATCAAATTATTTTTATACCTACTTGATTATGAATGGATAAAGCAGTGCCAAGAAACTAAGATATAAATAAGCTAATAATAGAGTAACTATGGATAGTGCACGTGATTTGGATTCCAATTTGGATAAAAATGTAATCCGTTATAATTGTTGATGGTTTCTAACGTACCTACCTATATATATATATATCAATCACTGCTCCAATACGGAATTTTTTTAAATTTCTTTAATACTACAATAACTCTTTGGACACGGTTTCATGCTTCTAATAACTTGACTGCTATATGCACCATGATAGTATGAGAGGTTAAGAATTTTTTACCTACCTATACATATATTTAGACATGTATTTTTTTTTTGGGAAATTGTTCAGTCACAGAAAGTACTCATTTATATTTCATTTTTTATAAATGTGGACAAGTGGACTCAGCGTGTAAGGGATTTACAGGTTGATACCACAAATTGCGTGTGCGAAAAAGTGAAACCTAACTAGATAAACAGAGATGGAAATATAGAGAATCATAGACAGATAGAGCGAGAAGCCAAATAAACTTAGGCTATAATTCTACTGAGATTTATACGATATCTAACTTTTAGATTTATCGGATTTTCGTTAATAGTTCATATATTATTAAATGTTCATAAATAGCTGAAATGTGATTTAATTAATTTTATATATATATTTTTTTTTGTTTAATTCCGTCATAATATACCGTTATATTCAGGAATATATAAAAATCCCGTATTACATACGATGTTCACTTATGGCAGTCTCTGAAACCGGTAAGCCGGTTTTAATGAAATTTTGTAATTGTGTATTGTTTTCTCTTACGCGAGAAACAGGGTAATTTTATTCCAATAAGAAACAAGTGGTTCCGGTAGATGGCGGTAGGAGGTCAAAATGGCGTTAGTATTAATATAAATTGTATTGGACGTATTGTACCCTCAAGCAAGTAAATGTAACAGCTGTTAAAGAAACTTGGAAACCTTGATCCAGTTAATATACACAGTACATTGAATAAATACATCTAAATCAAATGAATAGGTATATATTTCTCTACATATGAACATACATAGAGAAACTCATTTATTGATCTCTTGCAAATGAGAAACATCATTCTTTTGTTTTGTACACAGATCCAATATTTGTCATTAGTAATATTACTTTGATATCGTCTTGCTGAAAGTGGCAACAATTAAAACTAGAAAGTTACTAGCATTAAACACACCTTTTGCACCATATTTCCCTTTGGTTAATAAAATTATTAAAGTAAGTAAAATAAAAAATTAAAGAGGATTTTCATAGTATTTTTACAGTACAATACAGTAAGTAAGTATAGTATAATAGAAAACTTTAGTAAAAATTTGAAAGAAATAAATTAATAGATTTTTTTTTTATTTAAGCAAGAGGTATCAAAAAACGTGATTTGTTTATTTTTTACTATATTTTATTTTTGTGGTCACAATAATGTTGATTGAGCAAGATCAAAATTAAGCAAATTTGATAAGGGATGGTTGAGTCATTAAGGTTCCAAGAGTTATTAAAGTTACTTTCACAATTGTATCAATAGGTAGTATAGATTTTTTTGGACTATTATTTTTTATTTATAATAATTAAATTAATAATGTTATTTATTATTAAACAGAATTAAAATAATTAAAAATATATAATAAGCAAATTAATAATAACTTAATGAAGGTTTTAGGTATATTTATCATTTTGTTCTCATATATTTTATATTATAATATTTATTTATTTATAAAAGACACACATTTACAAAATATATTAGGCATTTACATTAGATTAGGTGGTGTCATTGTCAGTTTAACTTTTATCAACTTCACTACTTTTTTTATAGAATTTAAAATGGCAAGCAAGCTGATGGCTCTTGATTTATAAATACAGAAATAGATAGGTAGAGGCTATTTTAGATTAAGTAGTTCACTTTTTTCATTTTTCAATGAAAGGAAATTATAAAGCAACAGCTTACTATAAACAAAAATAGTAACAGTTTAAGGATAATTATAGGTAATAATTTTAAGGATATGTTTCCTGGTAACATTATATTATGTATTTTGTTACTCATATATATATATTTTTTGTGCTATTTGCTGCATAGTTCACACAAGTAATGAACTTATTAAAACCTATTTTATTTTGAAAGAAATATTAGCAGAGTTTCTTGTATATTCTTCTTAACTGAATCTACTTTCTAAATTGAACAATAGGATCTTAAAAAATACAATTAAGCTTGCTTAAAATTTAGTTATATAAATAAAGAGTATTCTAAATGCACAAAGTAACATTTCTGATATGAGTTTTTTTATAAACTGCTTCTTGTCCACACTTCATAGATTTAAAATGTACAATTTTTGATGATTAAATTTATTGGAAATAAAATGTACCTATTAATTATTAAAGAAAAAGAGCTCAGAACTGGGTTGATTAATCACAAAAATTAGGTAGGAGGGTAGGTAATATATTGTAGACTTTTTAAAAATATAATAATATTATTGTTAAATCAAAAATATATTACCTACATATTTATAATATTTTTCAAATTAAATTAAAAGTAGTTCTTTCGTAAAAGTTCTTATATTCTTATTCTATTTTTTTTTTTTTAAAAAGCAAACTAGGTGCGTACCTGTAATACGAACAGAACTGCCGGTCAGCTGGTGCCAGTGTCACTCCCAACAATTTTATAGTTGTGAAGTTTTATATTATGAGTTATTGGAAATAAAAAGAAATAGAATTATTATTTGTAAGTAGGTAGGTATCCGTGTATATTTCTTTTTATTTATTAATGTACTTACACATTTATGAGCTTACCTGAAAATCTTAAAATAGAAAATAAAATAACTAAACTTACGTGGTGTGCTATACAGGATCAAGATGATTTATATAAAAAAATTGATTTCGATAAAATTGACAAAAATCCAAAGGTAGACTAGACGTTAGAAATTATTATGATTGATTACACAAGCAAGACGGCCGACGAAGAATACGAACTTTTGAGTTGTGGATGTTTTCGTTTTATTTAATCATATTTGACTACGTTAGTCAATTGTACTGTCAAGTGTATTGTAATAATGATATCCTTTTTTAGCTAAAATGTTATATTTTGGAATGTTATATATATCATAAATTACTTTTAATAATTATTAATAACAAAAATAAATTCTCTGATGTTATCTAATAAATTAATTAACTACTGATGTGCAAAATTTATCGTTTTTGTATCGAGTAAACAAAACGTTTCTGTACGTCTAGATTGTCACTGATTGTCACTTTGAAAATGATCAAAATTTGTTTGACACTGACAGTGACAGTACCCACAAATATGTAGTAGTCAATTGCAATACTGCCATATTAGACGATTTTTGCCTTTTAGGCTACTCGAAGGCAACCGAAAATTACGATTAGCGATCAGTCGCTATTTATCTTAAAAAACAATTTTAGCTACTTTAGGCTATAAAGAAAATTTTTAGTCAAATTATGAAAATTTTTGCCAATTTTTATGTAGCTTTAATAGAACCTTAGCAGAAATGATAGCAAGTTGCAAAATATATTTATTAAAGTATCTACATATATAATACCATACAAATAATCTTTATTGTTTCCACCCATTTAATATCAAAAAAATTAAAATTTATATAGCACTAGTTAATGAGTTATTGATTTTGTGACACAGTTTCGAATTTGTTAAAATAGAAGTTTTCACTATAGAAGAGCGAATCCACTTTTACCTACCTTTAGCTTTTTTAGGGTTTCGTACAAACAAATAAAAAGATTTTTTTTGATTTACGTATAAATTGTACACTTTACTTATAATTATCCAAAATGTGTAGCGAACCATTTTACCAGAGGAAGACTTTGTACAAAAGTCGATTGCTTGGGTACCTCTGTCCCATTCGTGTTTCAACTGTGAAGCAGTTGTGTTTGCATAGCTGTGTTTCGGTTTGAAGGGTGGGATATGGCGTGAAATTACTGGATACAGAGGAATAACACCTGAGTCCTCAGGAATGGCAACGCATGGGGGGTATCATGGGCGAAACAGTATACTCTGTTATGTCCATAGTACCGCACATGTCTATAGACAACGGTTACTACTTTCCATCAGGTAGACCGTCAGCTTGTTTGCCATTTTAAGTTGTATAAAAAAATTAAAAAAAAAAAGTACATTTTACGTTCTTAAAATTTTTGAACACTAAAACGCAAATTTATCTATTTTCTGATTTTTTAATGGATAATAATGGAATGGTAACCATAGGTGTATTTAAATAGGGGTCCGGGTGCGTCGTGTTCATCCCAAGATATGAGCAAAGCTTAAAAAAGACATATCTAAGAGTGCATATGCGCTTTTTTTTAGGAGCCATGCAGGATCATAATCTATAAGTGCCTCAATGATGATAACTCCGCGTGTGCTATCAGTATACTCTGGCGCAACATAAGTGTAGCTAAAAAATAATAGGAGAGAATGCAATCAGGTCAGTTCACCCATCTTAACGAATGTATTAATAAATAATGTTTGTTAGATGGCTGCTGCTGCCAGCAGTGGTGCAATTATTCTCCATCCTACTTAATATAATAAATGCAAAAGTTCGTAAATCAAAATAATTAGTTTAGTTACAATTGAAATTCGTTTTTTGTGTAATACAATCTTAAGTCATTTACGTACACATTACATGCCGAGTTTGGAGGGGAAATTTAGATGATTTTGGTATTGCAGTAAAAAAATGTAAATAATTTTGGGCTACTTGGACTCTAATTTTTTGCGAATTTCGATCCATTTTATCTGGCAATACTGATCCGTTGTCTCGTTTACAGGAATTATTCAATTTAGTTTTTAAATATGTGAAGTTCAAAATTTATTTAAGGCTTAATTAATATTTTAATAGTGATAAATTCGTATTTTTTTGGTATATAATATCTAAGATAAAAATGGATACTTTGTACATTGGGAACTTGGAAAATCGTTGTCGAACTTGCCTCAACAATACATCGAACAAAATGCATGATATTTTCGCTGAAAAAAGTGATTCTATTAACGCTGCTGAAATGCTGACGTCATGTACATCAATAGTGGTAATTTGAACAGCTGTTTTATTTAAATTTCTATGATAAGCAAAGTTTAGTCTTTTTCAGTATTGTTTATATCGTCTATAATTTTAGGTGAACCAGGATGATTCTTTACCAAAAATACTCTGTGGAAGTTGCTATAACTGCCTTGTTAGCTTCTATGACTTTAGAAAATTAGCTGAGAAGATAGATACACAACTAAGGCAACAATTGAGTAATATTACGTCTCTAGACGGTGAGAACGTAATGATTGAAATAAAAGTTGAAAACAATGTTCCTGACGCAGGCGCCGATTATGATTTACTAGACTGTGGAGATTTTGAAGTAATGAAACAGGAATTTGAAAGTCATAGTTCAGATGAAACATCAAAACCATTTTTGTGTGATATATGTTATCAATCATTCGATAGTTCTATTCAATTGGAAACACACAGTCAGACACACATAACAGACGCAAAACTCAAGTGTAACAAGTGCAATATGAGTTTTGACAAAAAAGCCAAGTTAGAACAACATAAACACAAACACAGCAAAAGCAAATTGTACACTTGTAGCTTCTGCTCGGAAACATTTAAGCATCATTTCAAGTATGTCAAACATTTGATCACGCATGGTGAAGATGTAAAAAGCAGGTCTTTTATGACAGAAATTAATCAGAATGAGAACCAACATTTCGAGTGTGGTGTGTGTTCCACAAGCTTTAAATCTACACATTCCCTTGCAGCACATATGCGTAAACATACAAAAAAAGATAGGGTTTTATCCTGTTCTATATGTAGTAAGGTATTTAAGAAAATAAGCCACTTGAAAAGACATGAGCTATCACATGAAAATAATAGACCATTTAAATGTACACAATGTTCAAAATCATTTATATCGGAAAGTCTTCTAACAGAACATATGAATAAGCACAATGGTGTGAAGCCACATGCATGCCCTATCTGCAGGAAGACATTTTCTCATTTGTCAACATTAACTTCACATATTAAAATTCATACACGGGAAAAACCACATTTATGTCCGACATGTGGGAAAAGGTTTGATTCTACCACTAACCTAAACCAGCATATAAAGAGGCATATTGGACTGAAGATGTTTGCTTGTAACTTGTGTCCTAGGACATTTGTAAGTAAAGGTAAATGAAAATGTATAAAATTTTGAAATTTATGGTATGATTCTAAACTATGTAACTTATACATTATGTATTAACTTTTATATAGTAAATGCTACTAGTGCTAAGTAAGCTAGTTGGCAGTTTCTGTGTGTGATTTTTTATTAATTAAATAATGGAATTTTATGAATTTATTCTTTATTTATTTGACAAAAATTAAAATAAAACTAATATATAATATATTGATACTATATTGTAAGAGATTGTAGATAAATTATTCATTTTAATCTTGTCCATTAAGCAAAAACTAAGTCTAAACTCTTCTTTTATGGGGAAAGATTCATGCCCATAATGTCAATAGATTATTATGGTAATTAGAAAAATGTTTATATTTTGTACTATTGAAAATAAAGGATTGTGGTGATATAAGGCACAGAATGGAAGGTGTTATACATGTTCTGTGTACATCTGTTATAGTAGTAAATTTCATTTTTTTCTGTGTACTACAATTGCTAAATGTTTAATAAAATATTTCATGAAGTTTTTTTTACTGAAATATGTTAAAGTACTAAAATATACTCTATTCACATTGCAGGAGAGTTAAAATCACATGGTATAACTCACACTGGAGAGCGTTCCTACACATGTGATCAGTGTGGCTCATCATTTACTAAAAGGAGTTCACTTTGCAAACATAAGTTGAATCATTTAGGTGTAAAACCTTATCAGTGTGATGTTTGCCCTATGAAGTAAGTGCAGTAGAAATTGGAGTTAACAGAAAACAGCCATTTTTTATAAACATCACATGTAATATGGCTGTTTTCTGCATAACTAATTCCAGTTGAGAATACTAATAAAAAAATTCTTAAAAAGATTAGTAAGGTGGATTGTTTATAAAGAGATAATATATAATGGGTGGAATTATAAAAATGTGCTAAGGCCTGATAAAATGCAGGCTTACATTTAATAATAAATGCAACCCACAGCTTTATCATACAGCCTATATAAATACAGGAATATGGTTCATCTATGTACTAAATTTTTTATAAATTGTTCAGTTGTTTAAGCTACAGACTGAGACTCAAACATCTAAAATATCCAAATATTTTTAAAAAATTTTACTTTTATAATAAAAAAATACTGCTAATATTTTAGCAGTATTATTTCTACAAAAAAAAAAAAAAAAAACTAATTTACATAGATAGGTTTTTTCGACAATCAGTGTAAAATCTTTATAAATTTACAAGTCTACGTCTTTTCAAGAAATTTCAGTTTTGCTTGTGTGCAGTTAAAGATAATGTGAAATTTTCTTTCAGATTTGTGGGAAAAGAACATTTGAAACGGCACTATCGCATCCATACCGGCGAGAAACCGTACCGCTGTGATATGTGTGATCGTGCATTCACTCAGAGCAATGATTTGGTGAAACATCGTCGGGCACATTTAGGCGACAAGTTGTATAGGTAAGCTGTAGCATTAGTTTATCCAGTATAGTATTAGTTTACTCAGGGGTCATTCAAAGTACTAATCACTGTAGTATGTACATAGTACAGTAATCCCCCACAAAACATAGTTAACATTTATCTTTTCTCGTTAAAACGGGTTTAAATCGAATATTAAGAAAAAACTGTGTTATGAACGAAATATGTGTTTTATTAAAATCAAAGTAAGAACAATTTAAATAAAAACTTATATATATGTAACTAAAATAACAGTAAATTTCAAATAAATTAACAGTTTTATTACATGTTTATTAGCGAGCTATCAGAAACAACGTTCCACCGACATCTTTTTTAATAGTATGATCAATCCCCCGTTATATGAGGGAATGCCCGTGTTATACGAGGGGTTGAAATCGCGTAATATGAAAACGCGTTATAATAGTACCGTGTTAAAGGGGGATTACTGTATTTAACTGTGCTTATTGTCTTGTTTTAATAACCTTATTTTATTTTGGGCCCAATTATACATTAGCTAAAAAAATTAAAAAAAAAAAGAGTATTATCAGAAAAATAGAATACAATTAGCCTACGTAAAGTAGCTGATAAACAATTTGCATTTTGCAAATTTACGAATAATCTTAATAATTTCGATAGGTTCTATATTCTATGTTACTGGCCAATGGATTAATATTTTATTGAATCACTACTATAAATGTCTGTGAAATCACAAGCACTGAGGAGCTTTATTACATTCGCAGATGAGAGACATTATGTTTGCGAACAAAATTTACTTTTATTCCTTTGCATTTAAATCTGTTGAGAGGCAATTTTCGATACCTTACTAATATATCAGAATTACAAATAAAGATGTTTGTACATATTTTAAGAATAATTTTATGAGGATTCATATTGGAAGGTAAAATTTTTTAACTTATTAAAGATTTCTGAATGTATATGCAGACGATACATTTTTTTTTTTTTCAAATAACTATTATGCTAGTAAGTTTATATTATATTATATCCATATTACAGCTGTATATTAGTAATTACCGTTTAATGAGGTAAATTTTTATTTTTTCAGGTGCGCTGAATGCACAGAAGGTTTTCGCCTTAAAAGCGAGTTGCGTCAACACATATCTGAACATTTCATATCTCGCCAACTTCAAGCGTTAACTGTCAATAAAGCAACTGAAGTTGACAGTGTATCCACAGTTGGTGAAATAGAACAAAGTACACCCAACATTATAGTGCATGGTAATGATATAACAGCTGACAACGAGAACATGGTAATTATCCAGAATGAATCTCTTTTGGTTGACGGTAATGAAAAATGACAGGATTTGGGAAAATAATTTTGTCTGTTTACTTACAAGTAGCTATGGATATTATATTGTAATTAGTAGATAATTTTTTGTACAAATAGTCCAATAATGTTTAATTTGTTTAACAGTGAAATCCTAGATTATATAGATAGAGCCTCATGCTTCAAAAAAAGGTCAACTTTTTGTCAGCTAATCGTCAAATTAGCTGACTCTTTTTTTAATTAGTGTTCTATATACTTTATAATGCAACGTATCTTGACGTGTCTATATTAATTAAAATGAGTTTTTGTGTATGAAAAAGTGAAAAAGTTATAAGACGAAAAATAGAATTAATAAAAAGTCACGTTTTTATAAATTTTTTTTTTATGAAATTTTTTACATAATGTAAATATTTCTTTAGATAATTATTTAGAGATATTATTGAGTAGGTATTATGCAGACTTTGTTATTTAACCAAATTGATTGTTTTCAAAAACAAAATCTATCAGAATGAATAAAAATGGCCGCCATTTTTATTTTCTTTGTTATATGGCCAATTGCTTTCAAAATCGATATCTGAAGATTCATATACATTTTCAATATGGATCCGGTGTCAGAATTAATCAAAATAGCCGCCATTTTAATTTAAAGTCATGAAAGTATTTATTATTGGTATTAAGAAATGATAATTAAAATACAAATAAATATTTTTTACATTTAGTTAACTTAATTACAATTAATTAACTCATATTCTCTATTGCCATATGTAGGTATTTCCAAAAACTCGCATAAAATTAAAATGGATCTCACTTTGATTATTTTTAAAATTTTACTATTTTTTTAAGCAATATGAAAGAAATATGAAGTTCCGTCTATCATATTCTTATTCTTTACCTACGCATTATTTTCAATATATAAATAATATAATTGAATATATGAATAAAGTTAAATTTTATAAAGGATTATTTAATCCTAATAATATTTTAAGTTACGGTCCTCACATATTTACCTTAATCTAAAGTTATAATTTCTAATCTGGTAACACTGTTGCGTACACAATAGTATGAAAAAGTTCACCCGCTTTTTTTGAAGCATTTGTATGGAGATATTATCTATATAATCTAAGAATGAAATATAAATTAACTTCTTAGTTAACACCTAAATTATTAAGATTAGTTAAATTTTTTGTTTGAAATATCTAAGTACAAATTTATTTTTTCCATTTAAATAGTTACAGAAATAAATAATCTTGGATATTGTTGTTTTTAATTAATTTTCCCCTTAATAATATAAATGTATAAGTATAATAAATGCCAACATTTATTCAAATTTATAATAATGAGGTTGATAATGAGATATGCAAACAGAGCCGCTTGTTTTGTCAAAGTATTAAACCATACTCGATGTAAACATTTTTAGTTAAAAATGAGTCATAAAATTGCTGCACTTAAGGCCTACTGCACTGTGAAATATGTGGGATCACATATTTTTATCTATAGAGTAGAAAAGATGTGATGCCACTTTTTTATGGGTGATAATGGAATGGTAACCCCACCAGCGCTATCGGTATACACCGGCGGGGCACCAGTGAAAGATGATAAGTGAGGATGAAGCAGGCCAGTTAGCCCATCATGACGAATTCAACAAGACTTGTTCACGATGGTTTCCAGGGGGAACCACGTGAAGGTCGACCTGATAGGGCATATTGCTAGCAATGGGGCTGTCAAACTCCATTGCTAACAACCCCTTTCCCCCCATGTGATGCCACTTAGATTATTTTTATACTAAACTTTCTACAACATATTATAGAGTTATTTATAATGTGATATTATGATAATATATCACCTGTAGGAGAACGCTGTACTACTATATTAAATTGAAACTAAGAGGATTGCTATTAAATTGTTTTAAATTTAGATTGTTAATAATTAAATATATATCTTAATAAATCTTAACAATGTTTCTAGCAAATAAATTTAGTTTGCAATTTCATTAGGTACATATGTTTTTTATTGGATAAAGATGGAATGTTGGATCCACCAAGGCTAATTAATATTACAATGCAAAATGAAGTCAGACATATCATGGACAATTTAACAGGAATTAATAACGATGGTTTCCAGGAAGAACTGGATGAAGATCGAATGGGTAGGGTTCATTCATGATAATAATATTCCCATCCCATCAGCCGTTAACTGTCCACTGCTGAACACAGGCCCCTCCTAACTGTCTGTTAAGTTTCTTGGCAAGCGGGTTTTCTGTCGCAAGCAGGCTGGCAACCGCAGTTAGGCTTTGATCTTATATATTTGATGATATTTAATTAATCATAATATTAAAAATGTGTAAAAGTTTTGAATTTGATGTAAATAATAAATAATGTGAATAATTAATAGAGAAATAAGTAAATTTTCTCCTTTTTTATTTTTATTTTTTTTATTATATTTTTTTTTATACTACTTAGAATGGCAAACAAGCTGACGGCCCACCTGATGTAAAGTGGTAACCGTCGCCTATAGACATGAGCAATACCATAGACAACAGAGTATACTGTTTCGCCCATGATACCCCCCCATGCGTTGCCATTCCTGAGGACTCAGGTGTTATTCCTCTGTACCCAGTAAATTCACGCCATATCCCATATTTATTTATTATTTACTTGTAACATGAGAATACAGTGAAATTTGGTTAAGTAGGACCTGGATAAGCGAGAAACCTCCATAACTGGAAATCATGTTGAGGTTCCAACACAGACACTGAATTGACGAAGCAAATCTCTATACCTGAGATCGTTCGATTTTATAGTCATAATCACTTCTGTAACTAAGACAGCGAGTGCATTTTATATGCATTAATCTCTGTAACTGTGACAATATCAATTTATCACCTCTCGAACTTGGACTATTTTGCATTTAAACTTTTTAATTACTTATTCTTATTCTACCCGCAAATTCATCACTTAATTAAATTTGAGCCTCTATGCTCTTCAATTTTAGTTTTGTTATACTATCATACAGATATTTATTAGAAAAATTACGAAGCGAAGGCTCAAATCGTGGAACCCTCTGTAAATGAGGTAGATATTTATTTATACCTCGATATCAGAGACACTGCGTAAGTGGAATATCTCTATAAGTGAGTAAAATTTACAGGTCTTAATGTTTCACTTTATATACAATAGGAACACTTTGTGATTTTTAGTAATTTCATTATAAATTACTGTCCATACCTATTGTAATGGGAATTTAGCTGACTAATGTATGTACGTGATATGTTGTCAACCATATAGAAAAATCAGATATAGCTATCAGAAAACCAATTACACTCATCGGTAAATCGTACCTAAAAGCCTAAAGACCGCTTTCATAGTAATGGCTAACAATACATGACTATTGTGTGGTTATTCACCTTTGTGATTTGTGCGATTAACTAGTAATAATGAATAGGTACTTTATAATGTTAGGCTCAACGCTTACCGACAGAGTGATGGACAAATGGGAAGTGTGGGGGGGGGGAGCATTATTAGTGTTGGGGACTAGCAAACTATGCACAGGGACACTGAGATTCGAAGGGTACCAGGAGCCATGTATTTTAACGTGTCCTTTTAAATTGGATAGTTTCAACAAGATTGTACCGCTGAATGAAACGGGAATTTCTGGTGGCCAAATTTTGCCCAAGTTTTCCAGGTGATAAGCTAAGGCTGGCATTGACATACTATACTTTAGATTAATACAAAGTATTTTATTAAACCCGTGTGTTCCCGGCGTAGAATAGGCCATCCCTTCTTTTCCCGTAGGTGTTGTAAGAGGCGACTAAGGGAGGGCGAGGGATGGGCAGTAGCGTTTCTTTTAAAATATATATTCAAAGCCTAACTGCGGTTGCCAATCCACCTGTCAAGCGTGGAAATTACTGCCAAAACTGCCTAGGAGGAGGTTTCTGTTCAGCAGTTGACAGTTAAAAATTGATGATGATGATAATAATTTTATTAAACAAATTTACGCGAGCAATTTCGCGAGATTACCCTTTTACATATAATGAATTTGTAAGTAAATTATTACTGATATGAGAGTTCTTAATAAGAGCAGTAGAAGGCGAAACAATAATTTTAAATTTTGGTTATCTGTCTGTCTGTCTGTTTGTTATTGCACCAAATTGGATATGGATTTCATAGTTGTGTTCTTGAAGGTAGAACTGAAAGTCTTGATTGTGTATATTCATCTTGATGCACCATCTATGAGTTGTCTATTTTATTAGCTTTTTCATAGACAACAAAATAGCGTTCCAGAATTCACGCATACGAAGTCGCGGGCAAGAGCTAGTAAATAATAAATCTATGCAAAGTGCATGCAGTGGGCAGTGCGGTCACGTTTGAAAGGGAAACTTTATGTAGCCATAAAGGTTAATCAATTTGTATGGAAATCTACTACGTGTTTATTTATTGAGTTACAATATGCATTCTTTTCACTTTTTCGTGGTTTGGACAGAAGTGTGTAGCTGTACGTTGAAAAAGACAAAAACACTCTAAAAATAATGTTTTCAGAAAAAGATAATGGATAGAACTAATTAAGATCGTGTTCCACAAAAAAATCGATTTCGATTGTGCCAAAATAAGTTATTCTGATTTAAAACTAAACTACTGAACGGATACTATGGATTTTGATAAATTTTCCTTGGCATCAATCTGTATGTGTATATCCTTTCAGGTAAAAAAAAAAAAGATTTTTTAAATTGTTTGCAACTGATGGAATTCTGTGGTAACAAATATGAAAAATATAATTGAATTAAGAGCCTCGGTTTTTTAAAGTTTTGAAGTTAGTTTGAAACTATAGACGATTATTGAGCGGTCTAGTTACGCACCTCCACGCATGCTTTGTCCATTATTAAGCTGCTTATCTTCTGGATGTATTATGACCTCCGTGGTGCAGTGGTTGGGATGTTATAATAATTTAATGAGGCCCTGGGTTTGGACCCGGTCGGGCCAATTTAAGAAATGAGTTTTTTCTAAATTGGGTCGAGTCTGGATGTACCAAGTACTGCGTTGCGATCCTAGGTATTCGTTGCCTGGTTTCTCTTAACACTGGGTGTACAGAGTTAGCTCGAGGACTACACGATTGGTGTTTTTTTTAATGTTTTTTTTTTATACAACTTAGAATGGCAAACAAGCTGAGGGCCCACCTGATGGAAAGTGGTAACCGTCGCCTATAGACATGAGTAGTAACATGGACATAACAGAGTATACTGTTTCGCCCATGATGCCCCCCCCCTCCCCATGCGTTGCCATTCCAGGACTCAAATGGCAACCCCGATACGAACCCCACCGGTTAAGAGAGAATGATAAAAGAGAATGAAAGGGTAGATCAGTTAGCCCATTGTGATGAATACATCTTGAATTTAGTACGATGGTTTTCAGGGCGACCACGGGGAAGTTGACCTGATAAAATTTATTGTTAGCAATGGATCTGGTAGTCCGATTACTAATAATCCCTTCCCCCCTAATAGAGTACAGGTTATCCATTATGTTAAAAGTACTTAAATGAAAATGTTTCATTATTGTAATAGTTTAAACTTATTCTAAAAGAAAAAGTTTGGACAAAGCCACTTTCACTATTCTAGCGCGTTTTGTATAGGATTTTCGTGCTCTTGTGCATTCAAATACGGACCTAATTATCTATTGTTTTTATCTTCACGACTATATCTTAACGAAACACGTATTTATGTGGAAACCTCGATAGTTAAAAGTTACTCATATGAAATATATTATTATGGTAACCCCTGTATGACGTAAAAAGTTATTTTGTTTTGGCCACACTGCAATGGTCTTTTGTTTTCTTTGCTTTATGGTCTGTGCAGATGAGGGAAATTTCGTTCGTTGACGAAATTTCCATTTTTTTTATACAACTTAGAATGGCAAACAAGCTGATGGCCCACCTGATGGAAAGTGGTAACCGTTGCCTAAAGACATGAGCAGTACCATGGACATAACAGAGTATACTGTTTCACCCATGATACTCCCCATGCGTTGCCATTCCTGAGGACTCAGGTGTTATTCCTCTGTACCCAGTAAATTCACGCCATATCCCCTTTAAACCGAAACACAGCCATGCAAACACAACTGCTTCACGGTTGAAACACGAATGGGACAGAGGTACCCAAGCAATCGACTTTTGTACAAAGTCTCCCTCTGGTAATTACTATTAACCATTACCATTTACCCACATAGTACGTGTTGGTTACCAAATTTCATAATTGGTTAAGCCATTAAAGTTACAAAAGGTAATAAACAAATTCACTTTCACATTTATAATATTAGTAAGGATTCATTTTTTACACGTGAATTCGCATGACTATAAGTATGGATTGACGAGACCGGGATAAAACGTAGCCAAAGTAAGAACATGGGCTATTTTTTTAACTTTCTATAATATTAATTATATGTATTTGAAATGGAGAAGACTCTGTTTCAAATACTAAGTGTACACCATATGTCATGATGATTGGTTGAGAGGTTTAGGTATTAAATGGTAACAAACAAACTCTCATTTATAATATCAGCAAGAATACATAATATGTATTACGACACAGTCATCTCAAATATAAATGATATCGTTGTAGTGTTATGATCATTTGAAAGTCTAACAAACATACCATGAACGCACACACTTAGTTGATGTGGAACCTTGTTTTGCCCACAATGGCTTTATGTGATATTGCATAACTTTTAGATACGACAATAAACTGGTTTCATAGCTTTCAAAATGTAGGTAGACACGTATTTGTTTGTATAAAAACATGATTGTTAACAAAGAGTCAGATTATATCGAGTTTGCGTTTTGATTTTTTTAGTAACAAAACAATTTTATTAAAGCATCAATACAATAGACACATACCTACTTAACGGGCAATAAAAAACCAATTATAAAAAAAATATTTAAACCAATTCTCCAAAGTTTCCATTGTCAAAGTCTTATTTTTTTAAGTTATTTTCGAAAATCTTGGTTGAGGTAGAACTTTGGTTAAGACGCCTGCTTCCATTGCACATATATGCATATAGAGTGGAAACGTACTGGGCCCATAACCCATTTTATATACAGAATTTGCACTAAATATTAAAGGGAATTGAAGAATAGGAATCTTGTTATATTTTTAATATC